GGTACATGCTTGATAATAAAGGACGATTTTCCTGCATAAGATGTATAATCTGTTTAAAGCCTGTACATTTCTCTATGTTGTTGATGTTTCCCTGGGCTGAGGGAATACTTCTAAATGAATGTCTTTTTAAGTCATGGTTTACTGGAAAGAAGTATTACCTTGTATTGAGAGGGACTACCAAGTACCTGTGGCATAGGATGTTCTTCTGTGCAAGTACCAACAGACTTTCATTGCTGCTGCTGGTCTCAAAGGTCTACCTGGTTGTGGCTTCCCCTGCAGGGCAGCAGTATGGAAATTGGATTCTATTCTCAGCTGAAATGTGGGAAGGAGTAGATATTTTGTTTTTAAATCCATGGCTTCTACTCATAGCAACCTGGTAGACCAAGGGGAAATGAGGAGCCATAAAGACTTTTTTCCATATTGTGACTGTAAGTTGCATTTGTATATATTCCTTAGTTTTTGGTTATTCCTTTGTAGTTAATAAGAGCAAAAAGTGTTTATTCCACTGGGGTCTGTATGATTGAGGAAGATATGCTGAGAGAAACACCATTCATTTCTTCTTTAGCCAGCTGAAAAAAAATGAAACTGAAAACGTAATGCAAGCAGAAGGAGAAATGCTGAAGATGTTAAGCTATGGAATTGATTGTATCAAATGCAAAAAAAATCATACATTAAACAAATGGGAAATTTTTCTTCAATATCATTTCTTGACAAGTTTAATAATAACCTTAAAGAAGTTAAATTGGTTTGGGAAAGTTGTCCAGATAAAAGTCAATTGCACTGAAGAGATTTTTGGAATAACAATAAGGGTAGTTGATGGCTAGTTTTCAGCAGAAGTTCATGAACTGATGCCCTTCCTTTTTTCTTTATATTAGTAATTATCTGTGAAATTAATCATAAAGTCTGATGTCCTGGCAATTTTTTTTAAATTATTTTTTTTTCTATGTCAGCATTAAGGACTTGAAGTCACAAATTCTCAGCCATGCTATGGGCAAGGGGAGAAGCCTGGCATGCTCTGATATTTATCTTAGCTACTGGCATCTATAATATACAAAACTGGTGATAACTCTCCAGGTTTTTGACTTTTCACTGTCCTAGGCACCTGTGTGTGTATACATACAGAAAATGTTAAAGTGTAATAATATTGTGATATCTTCTGTGTACACTGGTTTCTGGTGGACCAGAATGAGCAGGGAATGCCTTTGTAGGATTCCCCAGCATAGCTGCAGTGCCTGTCTGCTGAGGTTTGGACAATGCCCTGGGCTCTTGTATCTTGAAGTGTTGTCTTAATTTCTTTTTCTAGTATCTATAAGGTTTTTGATCAGCTCTGTATTAAAGTAATTCTTCATTCAGCATTATGATTGAGAAGAGCTCTCTTTTACGCCAATGCCAAAAAAGCTTTTGAGACCAATTATTAAAACTGATTTTTTTGACTGGGCTTTTCTGGCAGAAACACTCCTTGTGCTTGCAATTTGCGTCTTGGACCTGGTAGATCTTGAGACTGTTCATCTGTTCTGGTCATCCAGTTGTCTGATTCATTTTGTCTTGCATCCATGTATAAGATACTGATTTCTACTGAAGCGACAGCTGGAGTTTCTGTTCTGTTCTCTTAGCAGTGCAAGAATTAGATCTGCTTCTCTTCCCTCAATGCGTCACTAGCGCTGCATCCCTGTGGACAAATGTTTTAAAAAGGAGGTAACAGCATAGAAGCTGTAGCATTTTAGCCAGCTTTCTTGGTATTTGAGTTCTTTCTGTAGCAATACAGGCCCAATTTTCTGAATCTGTATGAGAATATGATAGAAAAATAGGATATTTGCTAGTCCAAATATATGTGAAACAACTGTTTTTGGAAGGTAGATCCACTGATTCACTAAGGTGACTTTAGTGATATGAGAAGGTAAAATGGTTTCAAATCTTTCTATAGCACCTGTATCTATGGCACAGAACAGGTTCCCCAATAACTTCCACTTCTTATGAAGAGATTTGTTTTCTAATATTTTTTTTTTGGTTGGTTGGTTGATTGTTTTTTTCTTTCCCAATTTGAGAGCAATCCTGATACTTTATAAGGAATACTTCTGAGATGACCAAATATTTCAAAGCAAGAGAAACTCAAACCTAATTAAAATGGTAAATTACTAATTTCTATACATGGGGTACTTTGACAAAGATAATTTGTTAAAAATATGACACAAAATGGTGAGCAATTGGGAAAAGCATTGTTTGAGCACTGGTATTTTTGGGGTTTGCAAAGGACAGGGTAGCTTCAGGACGTTGAGCGGTCATGTTTTAATAGCCTTTCCTGTCTTTGTGTCCCCTGATTATTGTTGTAACAGAGGAAGATTCTGTATTTTACTGAATTGCAACAAATCAGTGAGCAACCAGAATGCAAGAAGCACTCCACCCTGGGGACTGGCCTTTGTGGGAAAGATTCAGATCTAAATATATTCTGACTAATAAAGCAAATCAGGCTTCCATGTCACTTTGACACCACCATTAAAAGGATGATGTTGCTTTTCCTCTCCCCCTGCTGCTGGCAGAAGTGGTTTTGTGGCAGTGTAATAAACTGCATCATAGAGCTGCTCTGCATTAGAACTGTCCTCTCTCCCCCTTCCAGCGTTGGTTGATTTTAACCTTGAGCTAGTTGAATAAATGCTTGTTTTTGCATAAGGAAGAGGTCACACAGGGGCATGTAGTCAACGGAGATTAAAAAACTCTGGTATCCATGGAAGTAAAACTTTGGAATTAATGCAAAGTCATTACCTCTAGGGCAATGCTGAAGCTGCAGATTTTATCTTAAGTGGAAAAGAATACAATTTTGTAAGTAAAAATGGATGCAAAATCATTAATTAAAAGACAGCAGAGAGATAAATCTCGAGCTGGGATACCAGAGCGAGAGCCCTGTCACTGGGAACTTCTGAAATGTTTATAAAGCAAAAAAACCCAACAAACACAATCTCAGATGTGCTTTGTTGTTAGTGTGTAGGGTTTCACACTGGCTGCGTAGGGAACCAGGAGACTTGCTGGAATGCTGTTTTTCCCGGGTTTTTTTTGTAACCCAGCAGGAGCTTTTTCACTGATGCTGACATGAAGCTTTCTTCATCATGACTGTTGGGTAGCTCAAATCTGGGAATTCAGGCATCAAATTTTCGAGAGTGAAAAAATACTTGATACTTTATATTTTCAAGTCCTGGTACACAGTTACATGATGTAACTGAGAGACTGGTGATTGAACACTAAGCTGGTTAGGTCTCTCAGCTTTGCTACAAACACTGATGCTTTTGTGTTGACCTGTTTCTTTGGTGCTCCAACAGGATGAGAATGTTTCTTTAACCTCTGATACCCAGTTCAGGAAATGACAGGATTTCCTGCTTGTCTGTAATTCTGGTCTGTTTCTGTTTTTTCAAGCTCCTTGATACTGCAATAAGAAATCAAGTTCCAACAAATCTCTGCCAAATCAGGACTTAATTCTTGAAATTATTGCCATTTCCCTCAGTTTGTGTCACCCTTGGAAGTGGCAGAGAGGAGGTGTCTTTGTGCTGAGTGGGCTCTCCAGGGCACAGTGTGGGATGTTTCTTCAGGCTGCAGGTGCCCTACGAGAGGCTCAGCTCCACCGGTGCTCCAGCACAGGGCTGGCTCTGCTGCCTGGGCAGCATGAAGCTGCCTACTCCTCCTAGTCGAGCTCAGAGCACAAAGCCCTGAAATGCAAACGATGTCAGGTTTTTATAGGGGTATTTCTGACCAGAGGAGAAAATCTTCTGCTACTGGAACATGCTTATTGAATTACTGTTTAGAGAGGTGTGGAATGTAGCATGACAGGTTGTAGAAAACACTAACCATGGAAATTCAGTTCAAAGTAGCTTTGCATGTAAAAAGAAAGAAAAACCCTTTTCAACCAAATAATCTTTCGTGTTATGGATACATTCTGTGCTTCAGGAAAACTACCATACAAATATTTCAGAGATTTTTAATATGCAGTATATTTTTTTATACTCCTGCCTATAAAATAGCTATATTTCCAATCACAGAATTCAGAAGATGCTCAGAAGGCATAAAATAGTTTTTCCATATCTAAAAGTGTAACCCTATCGAGTTTTTATATTATTGGATAGCCTGGTGGTTGAAAGAAACTGCTACACAAAACTGAGACTTCTTATAATTTTCCCTGCCTGTTTGGATGTGTGAGATATGATTTTAAAACTACATTCTCTTAGTCTATAGAGAACTGAGATTACCATGATGGCAAACATGAACATTGTGTGAAAGAGGTTAGGGTTGTTTCACTTTTTAGGGGAGATAGAGGAAACATCCTTTTCATGCTTTGTGAGTGTGGCTTTGGGGTTTTTTTAGCTTCTCTTTCTGAGGAAATGAAGCTGATATATTTTCCAAGTCAGCCAGAGAGTCTTCTCTCTTCCTGTACGTTTGCAGCACTTTGACAGTTTCAGCTGATTTGTCTGGAAGACAGAGGCATTGTGTGCAATTATTTTCCAGTGAATCTTATGCATAGCAGCTGCTGGGTAGAGAGAGAAATGCCCTGTTAATTCCCACAGTGAAGGGGAGTCTACACTGGGATATCAGTGCTTATGACACATTAGAAAAATCCCTGGAGGTTCATGTCTTGAGACCAGAAATTTCAAGAAGTTGAGATCATTGTGTTTGATGCTTTCAAAAACTATTGGTTTATTTAAAATGTGGATATTTGGTATGAGCTATTAGCAAGATGACATAATGGAGGAAAAAGACTGGTGAAGCAGCCAAAAGGGTGCAACAAATAAGTGTGCTACATGAGATCATTTGGCCACATGTGAGTTGCAAGGACATTATTTCTAACCGATGTCAGTGCTGAATTGACTCATTAATCATGGAAAAAAAACATGTAAAAGGGAGTTTAAAGCAGTGGAAATGCTGAGTTCATAGATGTTGGGGAAACTTGGTTGTTAGGATTATACTCATGTGCTTGGCTGTGACATTGCTCATCCTCTTCCTCATCTTTATTCCAGTAATATGTCGGATGCTCTTGCAAATGCAGTATGTGAGCGCTGCCAGACTCGGTTTGATCCTTCAGAGAGGATTGTGAACAGCAATGGGGAGCTCTATCATGAGAACTGCTTTGTCTGTGCTCAGTGTTTTCGTCAGTTCCCTGATGGACTTTTTTATGAGGTGAATTTCTATGTGTAAGAAAAGATAGATAGCACCCTGCAAATGCAAAGAATGAGTTGAAAATTCTGACAGAAATATGAATTTCCATCTTCCTTGCATGTTTAATTTCTTAGCCCTTCTTGTTCCTATTTAATTGAGGGGCTTCAGGCTTAATTTCCTTTTTTTTTTTCTTCTCACATACTCCTTCCTGTGCATCGGTTACAACAAAAATGTGTGCTTGCTCTTTGGGTAAGAGGCATTTCAAAAAGAAAGCAGAAAATGTTTCTTAACATTTTGTTGGACATAAGCAAATTTTTGTCTTTATTTTTAGACATTTTGTACTAAACTTTTCTAATTTGGCAGCTGGAATTGGTGAACCCATTTAAAAATGAGGCTGAAATATTTTAACAGAAAATGTGCGAGTAACACATTGTTTAAAATATGCTTAGTTTGCTGGGAGTTTTAGCCTTATGTAGGAGTAGTTCTGAGTTGCATGACTCAAAAAAAAATAAAAATGAAATTCAAGCCAACTATAGAAGGGCTTGGATCATGCAAGATTTTTTTACTGTTCTGTAGCAGCATTACTATTAATTTACTTCTCTCCTGTTTTGTGCCCAGTTTGAAGGTCGGAAGTACTGTGAACATGACTTTCAGATGCTGTTTGCTCCTTGCTGTGGTGAATGTGGTAAGATGTGGCATGTGTCAACCCCATGGGCAGCAGCTGCAGGGCTGCCCTGACCTTCCACTGCTGCTGGGACATCCAGCCCTGCACCAGGATCCTTGAGAACATTGTAAGGAGTGGGAGCTCTGGAGGGAAACAAGCATGATACCAACAGTGATTTGGGGTATCCTGGTTGTGGGAATAATTAGGTTGTTTTGATAGACTCTAATAGTTCTTGTGGAGATGAAGTGGAAGGATTATGAAGAGCAGTAGGCTTGTGATAACACTGTTTTCTGAAGGCATCTCAGGGTGTTGCTTTCTTTTTGCAGGTGAGTTCATTATTGGGCGTGTTATCAAGGCAATGAACAATAACTGGCACCCGGAATGTTTCCGCTGTGAGCTCTGTGATGTAGCGCTTGCTGACCTGGGTTTTGTGAAGAATGCTGGGAGGTAAGATAGAGCAGAAGCTTCAGAAGTTTTATCATTATGTTATTGATACCGTGGTGAGATGTTGACAGTAGATCAGTCAGATACACAATGAGAGATGAAGCTAGAAAAGGTACAGAAGAGACTTTAAGGAGTAGAATCCCAGAATGCTGGGAGTTGGAAGGGACCTCTGAAGGTCATCGAGTCCAACCCACCTGCCAGAGCAGGACCAAAACTAGGGCAAGTGACTCAAAGGCATCCGGACAGGTCTTGAAAGTCTCCAGAGAAGGAGACTCCACAACCTCTCTGGGCAGCCAGTCCCAGGGCTCTGTCATCCTCACAGGAAAGAAGTTCTTCCTCATGTTGAGGTGGAACTTCCTGGGCTTGAGTTTGAATCCATTGCCCCTCGTCCTGTCACAGGGCACAAGTGATAAGAGGTTGTCCCTGCCTTCTTGACCTCAGCTCTCACGTATTGATAGACATTAATTAGATCCTCCCTCAGTCTTCTCCTCTCTAGACTGAAAAGCCCCAGCAGATCACCTCCTAACCTGTACTGGTTCATTTTGTTGTTTGTCCGCAGGTGCAGGACTCTGCATTTGCTCCTGTTTAATAACCTGTTAGGAGATGGGAAGTGGAATGAAGAAGTGTTCTTGTTCCAGTGAAACATATAGAAAGCAGAAACTCAAATTTCAATACCTAGTGGTATTGAAATTTCCAGAACCTATGGGTTCTGGAAAAGAAAGGGATTTCAGGCAAAAGGTTGACTAGCAAATGAGAAGAGGGGTGATGTGACCCTTGGCAGGCTGTTTAGCAAGTAAGCTGCTGAGAAGAAAATCCAGACCACAGCAAAGCCTGTTCAGCATGTGATTCCTCTGGTTTCAAGAAAAAAAATTGATTTTATATGCAGAATAACAAGAACTAGTCTTAAAGGCTGTTTCATACATTTAATTAAGAAATAAAAACATAAAAGGGAACTTGTACAAAAGCACACCATTATAAGAAAATCAAACAATCCAGCAGTTAGCAGTGTTGCACAATTCATAGTTAATTTCAGGCTTTCATAAGCCTTGAGCAAAGCCTACAAGTTTCCTAGAGTTTATATTCTCACTAACTAAATGGTGAAGAAGGGAAGGAAAGGTTATATAATTGTACCCTGTCCAGCAGGGTGTCCTCTCAGCTCCTTCTACTCTTTTATCCTGCAAATAACTTCCATTCCCTAATTTTTCCAGCTGGGCATAGTTGACTTCCTTTGGACACCTAAGCTTGTTAGAATGGGCTGTTGTGATAGCACCTAGGGTGTTTTGGGAAAGCAGTTGGGATGGAAGCATTTCAAGCAAGATGAAATATGTTTGATTTCATAATTCTGGACCAAATCTCAAACGGCAAGAAGGTCATTTCCAAAAGCATAGAAAGGGATATGCCTGTGCATGTATCTGTACATAAAAAAAATATAATTCACCTGTCACATAATCTCCTGTAATATTTCTCTCCATAGCATAGAAGCACTTTTCTGGTATATATTTATTGGAAACTCTTGGGTTCTTTCTCCCACTTCTCATTTTATCTGGTCTTCCTTAGTCTGCTTGTTATTTGCAATTTGTATCACTGAGGATAGTTAACATAATCCCTAGCTGATCTGTAGGGAAGGAATGGTCTTGCTAGATAGGTCACAAAATAAAATAGTTGTGAAACAGCTCAAAGATAGGACTCTTTTCTGGACAGAGTAGACTTGGCTTCTTCATATGCTTAATTCTCTGTTGCCATTTGGGTTTGTTGTTTTTTTGTTTGTTTTTTGTTTTTTTTTAATTTGGTATGTAGTAAAGATGAGTGCTGTATTCCTTAAGCAGCCCTTTTCCATTCTGTTGTTTGAGGTTTATCAGGATGTCTGATGTTTTGCAGGGAACTATGTGAAAGACGCAGTGTAGTAAATGTTGCCCATCCTCTATCTGCAGCTTTGAGACAATGTCAGACGGCAGACAGAAAGGGTTGTGTGAAGTTTATTGCTTATCTCCAGCCCTGAATGCTGAGAAGAAGTAAAGCAATTTTAAGTCCTATCTGAATTTCAGTCCAGGTTGGGTGCATTGCAGCATTTTGGTCATTTTTCTTGCCACAATTCAGTACCAGTTTTCTGTCTCCTACATATAAACACTTTCAGTTGGGAGACCTGAACAAGATGGGCTGTCTTGTCATCAGGCAGGTCAGTCTCAGGAGTGGATCTCTACTACTGGCACAACACACAATTTCAAATCAGGCTGCATGCATTGTTTAGAGAAAGAGTCATTCCTGAATGCTTTGGAAATTTAGGATTAAATGTCTGTTTCACAGATGCTTTGCTCCCTTCTCTATTCCTAAGTGTTCAGCCCTCAGTTTCACAGCTTGGAAATCAGCAGAACTGTACTTCTGTTGGTAGTTTCACTGAGAAAAGAACATGTGATCTCCATTGTCAGCGGGATTCTTGCCAACTGCAGGCCCACAAAAACAAGAACTTTCCTCCTCAGGATGAGTGTGACTCTCACTACATGTTTGCACTCTCAGCTGCTTTTGGTGGAACAGAGCATGCTGAAGAACAAGCAGTGACAAGAAGGATGTTCACAGTTCAGATTTAGTACTTAGTGAGCTTTCATTTGTCTTCCCCTCGTATGTTTGAGGCAACATGACAGTCTTTTTAACACAAACCAGATTGCACAAAGCCTCACGGAATTTCTCAGCCACAAAGAAATACATGACAGGGTCAAGGGCACCGTTCAGGCTTGTGAGGCAGGAAGTGATGCGGTTACTGAGGGCCAGAACACGCTGTGTGGCACAAGAAGTTCTGGCCCCATTGTAATGGAGGATATAAACATAGCGATTGACATGATAAGGTACAAAGCAAACCAGAAAGATCATCAGGACCATGATGATCATTTTGATAGCTTTTTCCTTCAGGTGTTTCTCAACTCTGTTCCCAGTCTTCAGGCTTCGGATGATTAATAAGTAGCAAGTCACTGTGATGACAAATGGGAAGGTGAATGCCATGGCTAAGGACACAAGGGCATGACGTGATGCCTTTTCTCTGTAGAGCTGCAGGCAAACAGTTGTGTTTTTCACCTGGAGGGTCTGCACACTGAGCAGCAGTGGTGCCATTGCCACCCCAACTATAACCCATAGAAAGGCACATGCCAGGTGGGCATACAGGGACCTGCGGAGCTTGATGGACTTCACAGGGTGCACAATGGCCAGGAAACGGTCCACGCTGATACACATGAGGAAGTAGATACTGGCATACATGTTGAGGTAAAAAAGGAAGCCTGTGAGTCTGCATGGCATCTCACCAAATGGCCAGTGATTACCAGAAAAATGGTACACCAGCCGGGTGGGAAGTACCAGCACGAAGGACAGGTCAGCCACAGCAAGATGCATCAAGAAGATGTTGGCAGGTGTGCCTGACTTCTGGTCCCGGATGAAGAGCCAGAGAGCCAGGGCATTGCCAACAAAAGCCAGAATGAAGTCCAGGAAGTAAAAAGTGGCAAAAAGGATATTCTCAAGGTGTGTCTCTTTGTCACATTGCTCTGATGTTTCCAAAGAGAAGTTTGAGTGATTTGAGCAACTGAGGCTTGAGGGGTCTGCTGGGCCATTCATTTTTCACCACAGTTTTGAAGAAAAAAAAAAACAACACGAAAAACCTGGAAGAATTGAGACAGTATTTTACAAAAAAAAGCCTGGTTTTGTGAAGGAAAAAAACCACACCCAAAACCCCCACCCAAATAACCACACATGGAAATCAGTGATGTCTCCTGATTGCTAATATTGGTATCCAATACAACAGGTTAGTCTGAGTTTAAACCTTTCTATTAAAATTCTGAATGCCTTCTGCTCAGATGAGCTTTGCATTAATTCCTGTTGAAGAACCACTTAAAGAGCTAGCTGGATGATGATGAGTTTGTCTCCAACCAGTGCTGAGATCAGTTGAATAACAAGAGTAGGGAAGTGCTTATGTGTCTGGTTAATGGAAGAGTAGAAGTCTATCTGTATATCTATTTATAAAGTATTTGCTATGTTTAATTTGAAAGCCTGGTTCAGGATTGAAGAGCTCCTATTGAGTCAGTTTTTCTGAGCAGAAGTATCTGTTGTACGGTGATCTAGCTTAGAATATCTGTCTTCCTCCTAGAAGAGGTGGAAGACTTGTCATGTATCACTGTTATTAAAAAGCTGCAGGGTTCCTGAAAATCTTTGAAAATTATATGAGTCTAAAGTGTTGTATTTAAGGCAAATGCATCTAGTTCTAATATAGGAGGAAACTTTTCAGGTGGGTAACCTCACTTGCACAGAAATAGCACTGAATTGACTCAGAAAAGATTATTGGTTATGCCCATTACTTGTTAAAGTGTCAGCCTCACCATTGCATGTTGTACTGTGTGACCACCTCTATAATATTCAATACACCCTTAAATACCTCCATTTTTCCTCCACTGAGATTAAAATTTTGAGATGGTTTAGTCTCAGGCAGAAACTATTGTACATGCTGAAGTATTTACATCATTAAACAGTTGATCCAAGGCATTATTGCAGTGCATCCAGCTTCCCAACAGGACTGATAATTATAAATATCTAAAATATCTAAAAAAGGTCTAAAAATATTATTGGCTAATTGAGAAGCTGAAAAGGGATTAAGAACACACCAATAGATTGGAATATGTAAACAAAACTCTGAGGTAATTACCATCCTTTGTTTGGCTGCTCCCACTTTCAGGTGGACAGAAAATGACGAATATGCTCTACCGCTTCTGTTTGGTTCAGAGTTGAAGAGACAAAAGTCGACAAAATTCAGAAACTGAAATTTCTTCGTGTGGCCACATGGGGGCCTTCTTACTCCAGGGATTGCCCAGATACGCTGCACATTTATGGCTCAAAAAATTAATGTGTGGGTACCCACTGCCTCCTGCCAGCTGCTTGCTTCTTCATAGTCCCATATACAGCAACAAATTACAATCTTGGAATTAGTAAAAGTGCATGTGCAAGAAAGACCATCTAGCCCTTTTTCCCAGGGGACGTTTTATCTATAAAATCTTGCTTTCATGTGCAAAAGGCAAATTCCCTGTTGCACTTTCCATGTGAAGTTCCTGGGTTTGCAGAGGACCGTGTAATTTTTGTTCCTAGTGTTATTTTTCCCTTACAAAGTACGGTTTGTAAGATTTTAAACTTTAGCTGTGATAGTAATGCTTAATTCTCAAATACTTGTCCTCCCTGGATGGAATTAGTTTAAATATGTATTTTTCTGTTGCATATCTAAGGAGAAAACTGATGAGACCAGGACTTCTTACTGGCTGTTAATTTACAGTGGTACTTATCACGTGGTGTTCTGGCTCTGATGCATTTTTGTGTCAGGTACTTCATTTAAATATACTTTTAATCTGCAAAATCTGTAATCAGGTGATCTGTACATACACACATGTGTCAGCGGTGGGGTGGGCTGGTGGCAAAGCATTGGCCTCTACATGGTTGTGACAGCGCTGAGCATGGACCGGCTGGCTTGGGGCAGAAGCAAGGGTGGTCTAACAGGGATATCTCTTGTCTTAAGGAACTGAATCAGCTTGGGGAGTGAAGCAGTAAGGAGACTTTTTGCTGCTTACAAGCTAAATACTAGGGGTTTAGCAGCATGATATGTTGAACTGATTCTTATTGACCTCATTTCCTAAGGAGGGTCTTTGGGATTCAGATTCAACCAAGTGTCAGTGCCAGAAGAGGAGTTGAGCCTGTCATTAATTTCTAGCTGGGCATGCTTTGCCTGCAAAATCCTGTGGGTTGGAGTAGAAAGGAGAATGTCAGAGCTATCTAGAAGCTCAGTGTGTCAAGAGTCCAGAAGGGAGAGGCTTAGAAATAATGAAAAAATGTAAACAGATTCAGTCTTTTCAAATGAGTGCCTTCACAGGGCAGCTGCTGTTACCTAATTTACTTTGTAGAGTAGTTTAGAAGGGGAGTATTTTTTATTATCTGGTCAGAAATCATAGAAGAGGGAAGTGGACCTCCTTATAGTTTTGCTTAGGTTTTAAATTGGAAGGGAATTTTAATCAAATTTATTTCTTTATTTTCACAATTCTGTGAAAATTGTGGTGTAGCACTTGGGTAGGCTTGGAAAAAAAGCTGATGTCACTAGAATGAATTGTTGAGCTTACTTTTAGAATTGATGTTTTCAACAAATGCTAAAACTTTACAAAAGTTGCAGTTCTTTGACAGTGTGTTATTGTAGACAGTGTGGAAAGTCCTTGGCTGTTATTTACAGTTCCACTTCTGTTTTGTCTGGTTTTTATCCAATCAATTTAAAAGACATGTGTTTGATTTTTAGACTTTTCTTCCTTTTGGTTTGTTATGCTTACAAAAAAGCACTCAGAGTCCTAGAAGGCTTGTTCTACTCTGCATGAATGCTAAGAGCAAACTAGAAACCTTAGTTTGTGCTAAGCTCTGTGGTGCAATAGGCTTTGATTGCACAGACAGAAAACTCCTTTAGGGGTCTGCCTCATTGTCCAATAATTTCCACTTGGATTGCACTTGTGGTGTCGTGAGAATATTTAGTGATTTACATACTATTTTGGAAAGAGCCATTATCCCAGGCCTTCCCGGGCTTAGCTGTAATGGGGACATGCCTGATCGTTTGGAATGCATGCACACTGACCATATTTTATGCCCTGTTTTAATCCAACTCAGATACAAGATAACAGTCAACAAGGCTGTCATTATAGACACAGCCTGATTATTCTTTCAGCAGATGCTCTATCTATTAATGAAACAATTAATAAGCAGAAGAAACATTTAGCTCAACCTACCTTAGTTACCTGGCTAATTTGGAACTTGTATTAAAATGACCACTGCAGATTAATTTTAACTATATGCTAGGGTTTATAGTGGATATCAGAAATTCCTGGTTTTGCTCTCAGCTAGAGCAGTTTCTGGTTTGGGATTATGCTAGTTTGTGGGGTTTTATGATTCTGCTTGTAATGTCTTGTCAAGTGGGAGTGTCTCCTGTCTTTCACTGAAAGCACTCTTCATTAGAAAGAGTCCACTTCTGACTGAAATAATTATCCTGAAAATCACTCCCTGCTGAGCCTCCCACCTTTCAGCTAAAATACTTGTTTCCTTTGAGCATCTGAGCAGTGTCAAGAGAGCACAGGATATACCATATAACCCTCAGTTTTCCTGGCATAAATGGATGTGCATTAGGTAAAGAAGTTTGAAAACTTTTATGTTTTGGATATGATATAAAGAATGATATAAAGAAGAATGAAGTTCAAAAAATGCTGACTGTTCTTATGTTCAAACATTTCCATTATATTTACCCATCTCTGTGTGCATGTCTTTCCACCTCACCAACAGCAGCTAACACTAATGCTATTAGGAAAACTCCTTCATTATCCTGCTAACAGAAGTTTGTCTCTTACCTCTTTACAGTGCAGTCCTATGGGTGGTGTGTGGGGTCTTCTTGGGGAAAGTCTCAAAATACTCCTGATGACAGCAGAGCAAATAGATGCAGCAATGGACAAGACAGCTAGATGATCCAAAAAGAACACAGAGTTGCTGAGGGTGGCAAGGGGAGCCCCTCTATATAGTGTCCTTTTAGCTCTGATAGTGCATTATCAGCTCAGTCACACAACAGAGCAGGGGAGAGGACACCCCAGCACTGAGGAGCAGTTTTCATCCCAGCTGAGCTCCTGGCACTGGGGCTGCTGCTACAGATAGTAATACACTGTATGAATATTCCAGTGTTCATGGTGTTTCCTGAAGGCTGCTACTGAACCTCCAGCCCTGAACACAGACTTCTTGGAGTCCCCTGATTATTTTAGGAGGGTGGGGAGAAGCATTGTTTAGAGGAAGTCTGGTATTAATAGACACAACAGGACATTTCAGAATGGGATCATTCCATGATGGTGGGAGTGGGGAGGGGAAGAAATAAGCAGGGTGGCTGCTATGGTAACAGCTTTGCCTGTCCAGTGCTTCCTTTTGCTGGCAATAGAGAAGGGTCTGTGGGAAGTCAGAGAGGGTTTGGGAGTGGGGAGGGGTTGATAATGGTCTATCAGTGCAAATGGCTGAAGGCATCTTACTCAGATGAATGAGAGGGGTCTCTTTCAGGACACTTGCATCAGGGTCCCTATGTCCTGCCCTGTATAATTACTCAGCGTTTGACAGTGTTGAATAAAATTGATGCCTTTATGCTGAGATGAGCACAGCTGCATGTTTCCTTATAATGGGGTGCTGTCTGCTTTTTCTGGACTCCGTCTGGGCAGACAGTAGTTCCAGCCCTGGAGAGAGGCACTTGCTGACTGGAGGACTCAGATTTGGAGAGAATAATAATGATACTTAGCACTTAAACAGGCGCCTGCCAGCTGAGGGTCATAAACATTTGAGGTCTCACAACATCTGTGTTGTGTTCTTATCCCCATTTTACAGATCTAAGGGTAAGTGATTCATCACAGCAGAATTTTGGAGGCCCTGCAAAGAACCTACAACTTCAGCCATAAATCTACCCTTTCCATTTGAACTTTTGCTTTTGTCTGGTGTCTTTTGGAATGACCTGTAAATCTCAGCAAGTGTTTCACATAGCGATACAGTGAAAGGAATTAAGCAGTCTGCTCTGTTCTGTGACAAAGAAAGACACAGAAGTAATTCCTCTGTCATTTTAATTTTACCATAAATTCTTCCAGGCTTGCAGCACTGCAGCTAGAGGGGTAAGTAAGAGGCAAGTGAGCTTAACAGCTTCTCAGAGCTCCGAAAAATAGGGATAAAGCTGGGGGATTCTATCAGCGTTTACAGAAGTTTTTATGTCTTTGCCCAAATTTTTCTGCCAGAAGTTAGGTGTTTCTACCTGTGCAAGTACTTGTAATATGTTCTATAATGTGGTTACATTTACCACATAAAATTGCATAGTTCTTTATTTTCTTTAGCTTAGGACTAAAAGGAATTTGTAGGCAGAAGAGCTAGTATTCAATGGTTTTTTGTTTGTCCTAACTATTGAAGACTAAGGAATTCAGCCATGGCAAAGGCATTTGAGCAATGTGCTTTGGTTTAATATTTTTTATTCTCTTTCCTCAACTCCCTTAGAGAGCTGTGATGCCTCTGATATGGCTGGATCTCATAGTTAGTCATAGAGAGAGCGTGTTCCTACCTTGCCTTGCCCACCTCTCAGAATGGATCTAGAAGAACTGGAGAGGATACCTAGAAGAATGCCAGGGTGATATCCCTGATGGGATACAATTCAGTGGATATTGGAGGACAAATACAAGGAAATACAACTGTCCAACTGGTGTGAAAGACAGGATACTGCACTAAATGATGTTTAGTCTGACCTCAAAAGACACTTCTTCTGTTACATAAAGTACTTCCTACAGCATGAGAAAGAATTTCTTAATGTTTTCTTTACTCTGTTCAACCAGGCATCTGTGCAGGCCGTGCCATAACCGTGAAAAAGCTAAAGGACTGGGAAAGTACATCTGTCAGAAGTGCCACTTGATAATTGATGAGCAGCCTCTGATGTTTAGGAATGATTCCTACCATCCGGATCACTTCAACTGCACCCACTGTGGGTATGTTGTCATATTCTAAACTCTGAGCAAAAATGAAAGAAACAAACAGCACAGTCAGCAGCACAATCCTTTCAAAGGCCTAAACTTTGCTGCCTTCATGTTGTTGGACAAACGGAAACAGTGAGAGGAGAAATCAGAAGAAACTTGAAAAGCCTACAAGAACCTTAGTTTTATTTTGCCATTTAGTGTTCCTTTATCCTGAACTTGAAAGACACTGTTTTGTACTGAAAATGAAAATAGTTCCTTTCTGTGACTTTACCTGAAAGGCTGTGTGCTGTTTACAGTAATCGTGTTGTGCAAGTTCAGCTGTTGCCAGGCTATTCAAAATAGTTTCACTTGG